GCGGAGAGGGGCCGGGGGTGCGCGGGGGAGGGGGGCACGGCCGCAGGGGATCAGGGCTCAGCTCTCCCCGTGCGGGCGCTAATAGCCGGTAAGCTCCCCCTCGGCTCCCGCTCCCCGAGCACGGGGGCGAGAGGGAGGATGCTGAGGAAGAGCGGACCCCGGCGCACGCCGAGCGGTGCCTTTACCTTTGTGCCTGATGCTGCGCTTCCAGTCCTTGGCCGTCTCCCTGCCGCTGACAAACTGGAACTCGTTGGGGGTGAGCCACTCTCCCCGGTACCGGATAGAGGGTCCTTTGCTCCCCTGGCACAACTTATTGATGTAGAGCAGCGCCTTGTTCTCCCCGCACTCCACCTCGATGCAAGGCTCTCCGTTGTCAAAGAAGGGCTGGAAATCCGGGATGGAGGAAAACCTCTCCAGCATCAGGTCCTCGGGGAGGTGGTGGGGGTGGTGCGGGTGGTGCGGGTGGGGGTGGTGGGTCTCGTGGAAGCCCAGGTACGCGCGGTGGGCAAAGATCTGGTCGTAAGCCGGGGGGTGCGGGGTGACCACCGGAATGGCAGCGGCGGCCAGAGGGGCGAGATAGTCAGGTAAGGTTTCCATGGGCTGGTTAAAAGCTGCCAGGGCCATCTCTTCCCTGTCAAGTCGCTCCTTCTTGATAGCAGGCATGGTGCTGCCGCGCTCCCCGTGCGCCCTCGTCTCTCCAAAGCACAGTGGCTCTAATGTCTCCGGTTCAACTTGCCCCCGCTCTGGCTGGAGTTTGGATGAAATGCGCCAGCAGCAGCAGCAGCAGCAACACAAGCACCTTTGGCGCTCGGGTGCCGGAGGTGGCTGGTATCCCCCGGAGCAGCCCGCTAACAAATCTCCTGGGCTGGCTCCCCAGCAGAGCTGTCTGGGATCCCTCTCCCACGGAGAGGCTAATGTACCGTAGACCCGGGAGCTGCTGTGTGGCTCGCAGATCTGCCCCTCCGGACTAATACCTGACATCTCGGAGAGGTCTCTGCTGCCGTAGACATTATTTTGGTTTAAAAAAAAAAAAAAAAAAAAAAAAAAAAAAAAAAAAAAAAAAAAAAAAAAAAAGCTTATTGATTCCCCTAGATCGACCCACCTTCCTCACCAGGCTGGAGGGTTCCCCGCCGCCCACCCAGCCCCCTTTTCAACCCTCCCTCTCCCCCGCCGCTTCCTTTAAACTGACACCTGGTTTATTTATTTATATGCAAGAATTAAAATTAAACGCTGCGCCCCCGCCGCCGCCCCGCGACCCCTCCCCGCCCCGCCGGCGCCCGCCGGGAGGACGGAGCCCCGGCCGGTGCCGGCTCTGCCCGCGGGGCTCCAGACACCCGGGCGGCGGCGGCGAACTTTCCCCGGGGCCGCCCACCTTCACCTGCGCGGTGCGGACTCGCCCCGCTCCCACCGAAGCCTTTTATGATCCCCCCCCCAACCCCCACCGCGAGTTGGTTATTTAATTTTCCACTCCTGCACGAAATTTTAAGAAACGTGGTGTCACGCTCCGTATCTCTCTGTATATACATACACATAGAGACAGATCGAGCTCTACGCGCGCACAGACACACAGACATCTACGGTGACATCCCCGCCGGCTCTGCGCTCCCCACAACGCTGCCCACCCCCCCCCAACCCCAAAAGCCGGCGCTGTGCCGGGCGGGCACCTCCCACCCCCTCCCCGAGCCGGGACAGACACGTATTGATCTGTGCTCAGAAGTCACCGCACAGTTCGGAGACTCTGACCAAACAAGATTTCCCTCCGCCGCCGCCGCCGCCGCTTCTCTAACTTGGCCCATTTAAACAGCAGAGGCGCTTTGGAAGCGCCGCGCCGGCGGCAGCGAGGGGGGTGAGCGACGGACGGCGGGGCCAGCGCCGGCTGCCGCCGGCCCGGGGGGGACCCGGGGCTCCCCCGGCCCCGCAGGGGACACGGACACCCCTCCGGATGCTGCCCACCCCTCTGCATCCCCGGGTGCCCTCCCCACGCGTGCTGCTCGCTCTCCCTGGGCAGCCTCCCGTTGTGCTGTACCTCGGGAAGGCAGGCTGCATCCCTCGCGTTCCCGTGAAGGGATGGGGCAAGACTTATCACCAAGATGGGGTTCCCCAGCTTTGGATGCTGAGTGGGAATCGACCGGGCAGGAGGAATCCTACCTAGAAGGGAAATAAAAATCAATTATCCCCTTAAACACAGGGCAAAAAATATGGCCCACAAGTCTTACCAGGTGGCAAAACAGTGAGAGTTCTGTGTGGGCTCTGTCTCAGAGTTCCCAGAACAAGAAAAAGTTCTCAGCTTTGTTCCAGGCTGTGTCTCATGAGTTGCCTGCTTTCAGGGGGAGGGGGTGGCAAGTTGAACTTGCCTTCCAGACATTGAGAAATGGATTTGCTGTGTGCCAACCAGCCACTGGCAGAGCTGGCAGGGTCGTTTCTGAGCAGTAACTGCCCCTGCCACTTCAGCACCATCTCCCAGATCATCTCCAAGCACTCACAGACCAGGAGAAAGACCACCACCTGAGTTATTTTCTATGCCCCCAGCTCTCAGCTGACAGGTAACCCTCTCTTTGTACAAAAAGTCCACTACTGGATCACTTCTGGGACAAAGTTACTGCTTTCCTACCCGTGAAGGCAGAGAAACTGCTTCTCTGGGGTTCAGCAGATCTGGGAATGGAATCTAAGCCCCAACTCTCAATTTTCTCTTGACACTTGTTTACTTGATCCTTGTTTCTTGCCTATTTATTCTCAAGAAACACAAACTCTGGGATCCATCCTTGCTTCTTGCTGCAGTGAAGGAGGCAGATACACATAGCCATCAAACCCTCTCATTTAGGCTTTCAGGCTTAGGCTTTTATTCTTAATGCTTCTGATTGCTCAAGATTACAGGGGGAAAAATCACTTTCTATTATCACCTAATGAACCAAGGAAAATGCTTGGAAGAGGCTCTGGGAGACACAGATATTCTCTGTGGAAGTGAGAGGATTGTGGAGGGAGGTCGGGTGAGAACTGCTCACTCTTACCCAGAAACTTTCATGCCTGGCACACCAGAACTGCACTGGGCTCTGCAGAGCCCTGAGATCTACTTCAGACTTCCCTTGACTCCATCTCCTTTATAACTTGGCCTCACGGGCCTGATTTCTCTTCACTTGTTACAAGGGAGTTGGGTATTTTTTCTCAAAGCCTGCCTTGTGTTTTACAGCCACAAGGGCTACTGGGAGAGCTTGGCCATGGCCTTCTCCAAAGGCAAGTCTCCATGATTCCTCCAGAAGAGCAGGACAAGGCTGGCCTTCATCCTCCAGGAACACCTTCCTCACGTACAGGTGGTTCTGGCAGAACTCTGTGAAGTTTGGGGGTATTCAAGAGGCACAGATTCAGACTGATCCCATCAGCACTAAAGTTATTAACGAGCCCTCGCCGTAATAAAGAGCAAGAGCTGTGTCTGGATGTCTGAGCTGAGACCAGCAGAAGTCTGAAGTTGTTCAGCTCCACTCTCTTAATAGCAGAGCTTTCGGGATTAGTGTAAACAGATTCACCACTGGAGAGCAGATCAGAGAGCACTGAGCAAATCCAGGCACACGTGGTTGGAGAGACAACCAGGAACACTTTGCCAGGTCCACACTGAGGGACTGGAACAGGTTCTCAAGTCTGGGGGCACGAATCGCCTCTGTCTTTCTGTTGTGTGTCTCCACAGCACCCAGCAAAGTGAAAGCATGAATCTCAGTGTGCTGACAGAGGCACTACCACAGCAAACACAGTAAATAGTGATCATTTCCCAACGTTTAGTCCTCCACCTCTGGAAATACATCGTGTTGGATTGAAGCAAAGCCTGTGTCTCTCAGGTCAAACGTGTCAACAACTGCAAAGAGTTACCTGTGCTGTAAAGTGTTTTCCAAGTAGAGATAATGCTTCAAGCACAGGTCTTACACTTAAGGGAGAAGGATTTTCCTCTGTATTCTATCACCAGTTTCATGGACAAATTACTTACCCTGGATATTCCTCCACTATTCAACCCAGAAAAGAAGGGAAAACTTCCTGAGTGTAACTTGTTATTTACACGTGTTTCAGTAAACCTCTGAGTTTCTGACTGAGATCAAAGGTTCTTCGAGCTGTGTTTTAGAAACTCATTGCAGATGCAGGCCCTGCCCCTTTACAGGAAAGACAGGTTGAGGCTGGGAGGAGAGAGACACCCTGGGAAATGAGCAGCCTGAGTTCAGAAACTGATGCAGAGCTTCTGTCTTTGCAGGAACCCAGCACAGATGCCACACGTGCCATCTCTGGCACCACTCGAGGAAGCTAAAGGAAGATCCAACATTCTGCCAGCACAGCTGCACCTACAGCACTGGCCTTGCTGATCTTGTCATAGCAGGTCTGTAGCCTGAGTTTCTTACAGTCCACAACCAACTATGCCAGCAAAGTTCTGTCCTGCACACTGAAACGGTTCAGAAAACTAACCAGGTCTTTCAACAACTGGTGTAGCATCCAATGAATCCAGTACCCAGTGAATCACGTTGTTACCCCCAAAGTTGGGGTGTTTAGCCTTTTGGGACTCCCAAGTTAGCAGCTCCCTCCTACACTTCCCTCTCTTTCCACAGAATTCCCTGACATTTATCACACCAGTGAGGAGAAGCAGCAATCCTCTCCCTTACCAAGGTGCTGCACCTACCAAAACCCAGGGGAGGAGACCACTCATGCCTCTTCCACAGTCTCAGAGGCCATCAGGACTGTCTAACAGCCAGGATTCTCTGCTTTCTGCCTTTTATTCCTTGCCAGGTGCAGCCCAGCTCTGTGCTCTCTGCCTGGGAACACCAGCCCTGCTGCCGGAGCCACGCTCAGCAGGGCTGGGATTGGAGGTAATAGCAGCCTCAGGCCAGACTGCTTCATTAGGAGAGAGATTCTGACAGCCCAGCAGCAAGAGCGATAGCAGGGAGAGCACAGGTGGGTGTTCAGGGGAGGAGGGTTGGGAAGGAGGACACTGGAAAGGGCTTTGCCTCTGAAAAAAAACCCAAAAAACCGCTTTCTCAGGAACTGCTGGGCTGTACCCTGGTTAATGCCACTGATTCAGAACACTGCCTTTTATCAGAGTGGAAAAGGAGCCCCATGGAACTGAGGGTTTTTTCAGCTTTTCTAGAAAGCAGTGTCATGGTAGTGTGGGCTTGCACACAGACCAGAGCTGTGAACTGCAGGCATCTCTACCTGATGCAGGTGTTCTGTTTGCTTCCAGGAGGATGGCCTGGGACAGGCAGTGGTGGCTTAAGAAACTCCCTTCTTATCAAACTACATTCACAAAATGCCTCTTCCAAATCACCTCCATTACCAGTGCCCTGTTGAGCTTTGTGACCAGTCTAAGTAGACCAGAACTCAGGAAAAAAAAAAAGAGGAATTAAATGTCTGTTGGGGAGAAAGTTTTATTTTGGAGGCAAGGACTCCAATTCTAAACCAGCTGCTCCGTTCTCCTAAATAATGAATAACTTCCCATGCAGGGAACACACTGTTCTCTCTCCCAGCTGGTGCAGGGGTTATGCTGTGCTGTCAAACAATCACCTGGCCTGTGGCTCAGAGACCTCTGCACGCTGCTGCACACACACTCCACAAGAAGAAGTTTAAATTAAAAGGGCACAAACCTATTTCCAGTAAAACCAATGTTAGGTTTTTACTGACTTCACTCCTCAGTGTCTAGGCCCCCTGTAACACAGCACGAGGATTGCCCTTCTCTGCAAAGGTTTTGGAAAGCAGGTTTGGTTACACTCAAGTGATGCCTTCGTGATGTAAAAGAAATCATTTACAGAAATCACCAATGGAACAAGCCTTAAGTATCAAAGCTGCTGTTACAGGAACTGTTCTCTGACCCTTCACTGCTAAAGCAAGAGCTGCCTTCTTTGCATCTCCAGTTGCTGGGCAGCTCCCATGTCCTTGTCTCTGCATTAACTACACTTCTTTGTGCATACTGCAATTAAAAATGCATCTCTCTTCCCTTTTCCTCCCTCCTCAGAGGTTATTTATTGCTGATTTGTAACTGTTGTGAAATACTCGAGGTATCAGAGTTGTGATGCAGAAGAAATCACCTACCAGACTCTCCTTTTTCTTAAAGCCCTTGAGCTGCTCTGCTCCACTGCTAAGAAAAACTCCCCTGTGTCAAAAGATGCTGAAATGATGGTCAGATTGTATTCATCTAAAGCTTGGCTGTGCCCCAACACTCCTTCCTACTCCACTTCCCCAACTTCCTGCCTGCCTTTCCTCCTACCATCACAGTAACAAAAAGAAACACCAAAAAACTGACTATATCCAAGAATACATGTGTGTATGGCTGGGATCTATTGCTGGGTTACAACAACAAAAAATTAGTGACCACTGAAAGGCAGGTAACATCAGGTGTGCCCTCCTCTCATCAAACAGTGCCAGGAAAAAATTAATCCCTTAATTCACAGGTTCACACAAACACGTTGTGCACAGAGCCCCTTTTTTAGGTGAGACGGATGAACCTTGCTAACTAATCCTCTGGGAGTGATGTGTCACAAGAGTCTGGTGCAGTCAAGGTGTGACTGCTTTTAATATGTGCTAGGAAGGTCAAATTAAAGACTAGGTAGGACCTGCCTTGACCAATTTAGGAGGTGCTGAAGTGCACACTTGCAGCTTCCAAGAACCTTAATTAGAGCCAGCATATTCTAAAGTCTTTAAAGCACTGGGTATCTCTGCAGAGAGGTTTTGTATTGTTGTAATTCTCCTGTTTTCTAGAAACTGGTCTAGAGTAGTCAGTGCCCTGGTAATGATGGGATTAGCATACAACT